AAATATGGAAATTAGCCACTTCCTAAGCAAATAAACACCTTCCTCTCGTACACTCATGTTTGCATACAGAGGAAGCCCAGAAATCTCCACATCCAGTCAAATAAGGTCGCGTACGAGGTCCAGCCCATTGAACTTTTCACCCTCTGTGTTTTCTAGCAATGCAGCCGCTTCCAGGAAAGGGTGTGATTTCAATTCCTCCGCTGCTGTGAGGAGAACTTTCTCCTCATTTGAATATTTGCAGCTTTTCTGTCTCCAAGCAGAACCTGGGAACTTGGAGCTAAGGGAGTTGACAAAACAGATAGTCCTCAACTTACGACCACAACGGAGACCAAAATTTCCACTGCTACGCAAGGCAGTTGCTAAGTGAGTTGTGCCTCGTTTTATGACCGTTTTTTGCCACAGTTTTTAAATGAATCACTGTAGTTGTTCAGCAAATCATGCAGTTGTTAAGCAAATCCTGGCTTTGCTTTTCGAAAGCCAGCTGGGAAGGTCACAAATTGGGATCTCATAATCCCGGGATACTGCAACTGTCACAAATACATGCCGGTTTGCCAAGCACCCAAATTTTGATCGCATGATCTGCAATATGAGTACATATTGTATGTAAATACAGGTAGTCCTTGACTTACGACCACAATTGAGCCCCAAATTTCTGTTGCTAAGTGAGACGGTTCTTAAGTAAATCTTGCACCTTTTTACTACTTTTTTTTGCCACAGTTGTTAAGCGAATCACTGCAGTTATTACAGTAAGTTAGGAATACGGTTGTAAAGTGAACCTGGCTTCTCCATTGACTTTGCTTGTTAGAAGGTCGCAAAAGGGGATCACTTGACCCCAGGACACTGCAACCATATCTATTGATTACATGGCGTACCACAACGAATAATTTCTGATGTGGGTCTGTGTGTCCTAATTTACTTCTAAATTTGGACCTTCTAGGTACCGAACAAGGACTAGGTTCCAGTCATCATCCTCAGACTAATGGTGGAAACGAACAAAAGAACTCAGTTCTGAAACAATACCTTAGATCAGGGGTGTCAAACTTGTGTCGTCATGTTGCCGTCACGTGACATGTCGCAACTTCCCCCCTTCGCTAAACCGGGGGTGGGCCTGGCTAGATAGATACAGATTAACAGAGTTGGAAGGGACCTTGTAGGTCATGTAGTCCAACCCCCCGCCCAGCAGACCCTACACCATTTTTGACAGATGTCAGTCCAGTCTCTTCTTGAAGGCTTCCAGGGATGAAGCTCCCACGACTTCTGAAGGCAAGCTGTGTATCCAGCTTGCGGGCCGCAAGTTTCACACCCCTGCCTTAGATGCTTCATCAACGATTCACCAAAGGCGATCCCCCTTTGACCCCGAGACTCTGCAACCATCATAAATATGAGTCCGTGGCCAAGGATCTGAATTTTGATCACAAGACCACGGAGATGCTGCAACCGTCATCAGTCACTTTTTTCAGTGGCAATTGTAACTTTAAACAATCGCTCAGTGAATGCTTCTAATTCGAGAAATACCTGTAACTACAATGTTGTCATCCATCTGATCGAGGAACTCCCTAAAAATTAAAGTGGACCAGTTCACTGATTGTGGATTATATTTAGGGGTGAAATCCAGCAGGTTCTGACAGGTTCTGGAGAACCGGAAGCAGAAATTTTGAGCAGTTCAGAGAACCGGTAGCGGAAATTTTGAGTAGTTCGGAGAACCGGCAAATATCACCTCTGGCTGGCCCCAGAATGGGGTGGGAATGGAGATTTTGCAATATCCTTCCCTCAGGAGTGGGGAGGGAATGGGGATTTTGCAATATCCTTCCCTTGCCACACCCACCAAGCCACACCACGGCCACCAATCCACGCCCACAGAACCGGTAGTAAAAAAAATTTGGATTTCACCACTGATTCTATTTATGTGCACTGATACATCATTGAACATTTCACGTCAAGTATTCGTATTGTTTTATAAAGCCTTTCTTAGTAAGGCCACACCTGGAATGCTGCATCCAGTTTTGGTGACCACATTACAAAAAAAAAGGTTGAGACTTTGGAAAAAGTGCAAAGAAGAGCAACTAAGATGGTTAAAGGCCTGGACACAAAAACAGATGAAGAACGGTTCCAGGAACTGAGGAACTGGATATGGCTAGTCTAGAAAAAGGAAGGAGTAGGGGTGACATGATAGCAGTATTCCAGTATTTGAGAGGCTGCCACAAAAAGTACGGGGTCAAATTATTTTCCAAAGCACCTGAAGGCAGGATAAGAAACAATGGATGGAATCTAATCAAGGAGAGAAACAACCTGGAATTGAGCAGAAACTTCCTAATAGGACAATTAACCAGTGGAACAGCTTTGCCTTCAGAAGTTGTGGGAGCTTCATCACTGGAGGTTTTTAAGAAGAGACTGAACAGTCACTTGTCTGAAATGGTATAGGATCTCCTGCTTGAGCAGGGGGCTGGACTAGAAGACCTCCAAGGTCCCTTCCAGCTCTATTCTGATTCTGATTTCCCCTATGAGTCCACAAGCGAATGCTACTCACTTAGCAACTTTCTCACTCAACCACATAAATTTTGGGCTCAATTGTGATTGCAAGTTGAGGACTACCTGTATTATGTAAAAAGTAAAAAGTTGAGGTTTCATGTTATTATTTTATTCTACTGCACCAAAGGAAGTCGGAAGTCAACACCTTTTTTTTCATTTTCCCCTTTTTCCTCACACTTTCCCCACACTTTCCCCTCCCCTATCTTTCCTACTATTTTCTTTTGTATTTCTTTCTCCTGGAGTATTAATACATAAATAAATAAAAACTTTGATTAAAAGAAGTAATGTGCAGTTGTGCAGTTGATCTAGGGAGGCCACTGAAGGGAATTGCAAACAAAACTTAAGCGATATCTATATGCACACACACAAACACACACACACACAAACACACACACAGACACACACACAGGCCTTGGCATCAATTACACTAACAGTTTAAAAAAGCAATTTCTTAGCTGTGGGAGCAGCCAATCCTGAGATAAAAATAATGCTTTCTCTTTCCTTCTCTTTTCTGCAGGGGCAGAACTGAAGTCACACCGTTTCCAAGAAATGCAGGCATTCAGAGTTGTCAGAACGTATTTAAGAAATATTGATATAAAATATTTTTACCAGGGGTATACTAATCACACTTTTAGCAATATATCATTGGTTTTATTGCACATGTGTCAGATGGAAACAGCTGCATTAATTTTTTTTTTTTGTACCTCTTTGCCTTCACTAGCCACATGATACACCCTACTACTCATTTTGCATTTTCATGAATGCAACTCTCAGTCTAGATGGTCCTTATTAGAGATAGTCCTCGGCTTACAACAGTTCATTTAGTGACCACTTGAAGTTATAGCAGCAGTGAAAAAAGTGACATATAAGGCCATTTTTCACACTTACAACCGTTACGGTATGCCCATGGTTATGTGATCAAAACTTGCATGCTTGACAACAGTCTCATATTTATGACGGTTGCAGTGTCCAAAGGGCATCGTGTAATCCCCTTCGGCGACCTTCTGACAAGTAAAGTCAATGGTAAAGCCAAACTCATTTAACAACCCAGTTACTAACTTAACAACTATAGTGATTCACTTAACAACTGTTGTAAGAAAGATAGTAAAAAGGAGGCAAAATGTACTTAACAACAGGAATCATTTAGCAACAGGAATTTGGGGCTCAATTGTGGTCACAAATCAAGGACTACCTGTATTTATATACAGCATGAACTCATATTAATTTCTTTAGTGAAGAACGTTGCATTGCTTTCTGAGAGATTTCCTTCCTTCCTTCCTTCCTTCCTTCCTTCCTTCCTTCCTTCCTTCCTCCCTTCCTTCCTTCCCTCCGTCCTCTTTCTTTCTTTTTTTCTCTTTCCTTCTTTCTTTCTTTTCTCTTTCTATTTTCTTTTCTCTTTCTGTTTTCTTCTACCTTCCCTCCCTCCCCCAAACTCTTTCCTTTAGCCACTCATCCCAACAAACAACTCTGGGTGTCTCACAATTAAAAAATATATAATAGAATTAAAATCTTTAAAACATTTTAAAACAATAAAAATAGTTAAAAACCATTAAAACAACGCAAAACATCAAAGCACTGTTATGTTCTGCCTTTTCTCCTACCCTCTCAAGTTGGTTTTGAAACTCAAATCTGCTTTAGAACTTTACCCATCCTATTGTGTATCATCTGCAAATTTATGCAGCATACACAATTCCCCCCCACAAATCATTATTTAAAAAATAAAGGTAGGAGACCCAGGACTGAGTCTAGTAGCATCCTTCCTAATCCCTCTTTCCAATTTGATGTGGGGGGGGGGGGGGAATTGCCAATCACTTAGCTAAACTGGAGCAGGAAAAAGTGCAGGAAACTGACTTGGTCCTTGGCAGAAATGGATGTGAAAGAGGAGAGGGAGAGGGAGAAGGAGAGAGAGAGAGAGAGAGAGGGAGGGAGGGAGGGAGGGAGGGAGGGAGAGAGAGAGAGAGAGAGAGAGAGAGAGAGAGAGAGAGAGAGAGAAACAAACAAACAAACAAACAAAGAAAGAAAGAAGGAAGGAAGGAAGGAAAGAAAAAGAAAGAAAGAAAGAAAGAAGAAGGAAGGAAGGAAAGAAAAAGAAAGAAAGAAAGAAAGAAAGAAAGAAGGAAGGAAGGAAGGAAGGAAAGAAGGAAGGAAAGAAGGAAGGAAGGAAGGAAAGAAAGAAACTCTCCATTTGGAGCCCTAGATGTATTTATAAATCCAGAAACTGTTTTGATTTGAAAGAAAGAGAAAGAAAGAAAGAAAGAAAGAAAATCCTGAAATGACTCCCCATTTGGAGGTCCAGAGACATATTTATAAAACCAGAAACTGTTTTGATATGCAATGCTCCATTTTGAGTTTCCATAAATGTAAATGTAAATGCAAAGTTTCCAGAAATGGCCTCGGGGGATAACCAGGGTTCGGTTAGGGTTCTGGGTAGAACAGCTGCCTTTAACTACCCGGGCTGATCTCCGAAAACGCTTGATTTGCAGGAATCGCTGCAAAGCAGAAACTGAAAGTAACAAGGCCTGCATTAAAAAGGACTCGCGGCTGCCTGAACTTCACAAGCATCGCAGATACTCGCAAGAGCGAATAGCCGATTTCGACTCCCGTCCAGTGTGAACTTCAAAACGTTGCCGACGTGAGTCTCTCTTTTGGGGTGGGGTGGGTGAGGCGGGGGGAATGTTTTTTATGATGGTGCTCACGGCTTCTTTTACGAACAGATGAGCGTCCAGAGGGTTGTGTCCTTAAGGGCAGGGGGTCTCCAACCTTGTCAACTTTAAGACTTGTGGACTCCAACTCCCCAAATTCCTCAGCCAGCTTTGCTGGGAGTTGGAGTCCACAAGTCTTAAAGTTGACAAGGTTGGAGACCCCCTGCTTAAGGGAGCATAAAACTTCCCCCTCATGAGGCGGAAAATGCAGAATATCGCGGGGCAAAGCCAAGAGATGGGCTGATTTTCTGGTTATGGACGGCGCACTCAATGAAAGCCCCGTGAGGGGGATGGAGGCAGATTGTGTAGTGAAAGAGGGGGGCGTCCTCACATGAAATGGGGGGCGGGGGGAGACCCAGGAAGCCAGGATTCAGCCAAAAGCTGAAAATTACATGTCACTGTGCTTGCTTCACAAGGTGATGTCAAAATTGATATTTTCAGCAGTAGTTCAAAACTAGCTGAAAAGGGTCACTGCTGAGCTCAGAGCAAGGAAGCTGAGAAAACAGTTTGTGTGTGTTCAGGGTTTGGGAGTCAGATTGTGGCGAGAATGTAGTTTTAAGCTTGTTTCTCTTCACCTTCCCTGAATTCACAAAACAAGGTGGCTTTTCTCCCCCTTAAATCTCACCTGTGGATGAAATCTATCAGTAGTTGTACTTTAACTTTTAACAGATTCTTGGGTGTCAGAGGAATCTCTTGAATCTTGAATCAACATCAGAATCTTGAATCAACATTTATTTATTTATTTTATTTTATTTTATTTACATACCGCCTTTCTCCATCAGAAAGGAGGGGAAGAGAAATCCAAAGAAACAAGATAGTTCCTTTGCTTATCTCCTTTATGCATTCAGTTAATACTTAACTATTTATTTATTCAAGGTATAATAAGCCAAGTTTCTCCTGGGGGTGGGAGGAGGAACTTACATTGAAAGAAGTGAATGTGTTTCCAATTAATATACTGGAAAGCTTGAAGCCCAGGTGAGCCAAGGTGGCGCAGTAGTTAAAGTGCAGTACTGCAGCTACTTCAGCTGACTGCTAGATCAGCGGATCAAATCTCACCGGCTCAAGGTTGACTCAGCCTTCCATCCTTCCGAGGTGGGTAAAATGAGGACCCAGATTGTTGGGGGCAATATGCTATTTAGTATACTGTCTTTGGTGTAAGCCGCCCAGAGTCCTCGGAGAGTGGGCAGCATAGAAATATGACTAATAAAAAAAAGAATAATAAAACAATAATGAATTTGTCTGTGAAAATATTTGGATACAGGGTAGTGGTGGGATTCAAAATTCTGTAGAGGTGGCATGGCTTGGTGGGCGTGCCAGGGGAAGGGTACTGTAAAATCTCCATTCCCTCCCCACTCCAGGGGAAGGTTACTACAAAATCCCCATTTCCTCCCGATCAACTGGGACTCAGGAGGCAGAATATAGATGAGGGCAGGGCCAGTCAGAGGTAATATTTACCGGTTCTCCAAACTACTCAAAATTTCCGCTACCGGTTCTCCAAAACTGGTCAGAACCTGCTGAATACCACCTCTGATACACAGATAGTTCTCAGCTTACAATCACAATTGAGCCCAACATTTCCATTGCTAAGTAAGACAGTTATTAAGTGAGGTTTGCCCCATTTTACGATCTTTATTGCCATGGTTGTTAAATGAATCATTGCAGTTGTTATCTGCAATGTTGTTAACACTGTTGTTAAGTGAATCTGGCTTCCCCATTGATTTCGCTTGTCAGAATTTTGATCACCTGTGCCCAGGGAGTGTGGGGATGCTGCAATGGTTATAAGTGTGAAAAAACGGTCATATGTCACTTTTTTCGGTGTTGTTGTAAGTCTGAATGGTCCCTAAATGAATGGTTGTAACTTGAGGATTATCTGTGTTGTGGTTTTACTGTGGCACTAAAGATTAACATTTATTCTTTGAAGAATGAATATATCTGAGACTTCAAAATTTGGTTAAACAGAATTGGTCAACTCTTAATCTTTGAATAGATTATGTATTGCCAAATCAGATAACAGGTCTCCATACAATCTTGGTTTAATTTGTTCAAACATTGACTCTAATGATTTGAATAACTACAATTTCACTGGTTTTGGCATACTAGGCAAGTAGAAAATATTACTCGTATATTGGCCTGCATTTTTTTCTTTATAGATTCTTTTTTTTTTTCTTTTAGCTTTACTGTTTAGTTTTTTTTTAATCATATCGCTGTTTTCAGTTATTTAGATTGAAGTATAACAATACAGTATTCAAATAGTGGTAAAACAACGTGTAATAAACAACATTTAATTAATGTTTATTAAATTAATATTTGATTAAAATTTTCTCTCCAGATGTGTTGGATATTAATTCTGTAAATTTCTAGTGAATGTGGCCATTGGGTTGACTTTGGAGCTATAATCCAACATTTCTGAGAGAAGCAAGCTAGGAACATGTGAAACAAAGGTTCAGAAGTGAATTTCTAAATCTAATTCATGAAAATGTAGCAAGTCAGGCCAATTTTGCATTGTAGGAGATAAGCAGGCTGAGCCTGAGGGAGGGGCCAAGCATGTCATCAGCCTCGAATCCCAAGTCCCTTCGTGCCCACAAGAGATCTAAGTCCAGCCATTCTTGAATTCCATTGATCTTTATCATCAATTTGCCTTAGCGGTTGGTAATTCAAATTCTTGTGGAGAGTGTTAGCATGCAATAAAGTTGTAAACTTTCAACCGCCTCAGCTCCTGATTTCCTGTGCTTGACATGCATATTTCTGAAAAGGAAATTGGCATCAGTAAAAAATAAGTTATGAGTGTGTTATCCTGAACGTGGCAAAGTCTTCTAGAAACTCTAAGATCTCTGGGATCTTTTCCAACCCAGGTATTCCAGAGACTACAATCTTCAATCGTTCAAACTTTCTTCTTTTTTGTTTTTTTTTTGTTTTGTTTTATCCAGGCTGAAATGGCTGTCCAGCCCAAAAGCGCACTTGCTACCCAAGCCATAATGAACATCAGCAAAGCAGAGGAAGTCCGAAAAGAGACAGAACTGATGATGAAGCCCCACGCGAACTGGGAGGAGTATCTGATGCCTGGGCCCATCTCCATCGCCATTTTAGGGGAGCTGGCTTGCATTGCTGCAGGACAAGGAGACTTTGCCATCAATCTTGCCCCACCCCAGGGAGGCTACAAATATATGAGGTATCCGGACTCTTTCCAAGCTTCCCTAATGCAGGTCAGCAACAGTGGTTGGCATGCCTTCAGCATCGCCCACAAGAATATGGATGGCATCCGGCTCCTTTCTATGAGCGTCGCTGAGCAAATCAAGATGGTCATCAAGACCTTATTCCAGGATGACCTTACCTTGATAGATGCCTTGCTCCCTGGACAACTATCCAGCCTGAAATCGATTGCAAACGAATGTTCCTCTTTAGCTAAGGCAGTTGACAATAAGTTCAATGACGTCATCTGTCTGATTGGGGAACTCCTGGAAGTGTGTACAAGTTCCAAATCGCAGTACGAACAAGGGTTGACAGAAACCAAGCGTGCCTTGGAAGACCTGAAGCTAAGGAAGGCAGCAGCTGAAGACGCCCAGGCGAAAGCAGAGGACTATTACAAAGAAATAAAGAACAGAGTGACCGAAACATTTGATGATTACAGAAAAGCGATCGATAGCGTTCCTACTGGCTGGAATGCTGTCATTCTGGAATTCACTTCGAGTATACAAGAAACCTTGATGTTGCCAATTGCCAATCTGATATCCTTTCTCAGCTTTAAGGAAAATATGTTGCCTATTCCAATCCACAGCAGAAGTGAGGAAGGTTGTGAAAGTGAGAATGACTTTATAGCCATGAACAACATCTCTGCCCTGTCAGCTCAAATGCTGAAATTGGTGGACGTTCTTCAAACCATGGTGGATGATGAAGGTAATATTGACATGGATCTCCTCTACAATAAAAAACACAATGAAATCAGAACCGTATGGACCAAAAAGAGATCTCAGCAACTGTTAGCAAAAATAAAAAAAGAAGGAAAGTGCAGCATGAAAAATTTGGCAGTGAAAATATGTAATTATATAATAGATATTTCCAATATATTAATTGAAGCAGTAGCGTCTGGGGAAGTAAACAAGAAAAACCTGATGAAGAAAATGGGCGTTCTCTCAGATGATATTGTTGTTTTCGATAGCAGAAGCAAGTCCTGTAACCGCACGTCCCCTTTTAGTTCCTTGGCGCCAAATATGGCCAAATCCCAGAAAAACATTCAAGAGGAGTCGACGTCGGCGGTGAAAAACAGCATTTTGAAAATAGAGCAAACGAAAGAAATACTGAAGATAAGTCAAGAAGAATACCAAAAAAGTTTTGACAACTTAAAGGAGCAAAATAAGGATTTGCTGGATGTGCTCAGTGAAATGAGGAAGTGTGAAATGAAGGAGATTGATTTTGAAAAAGCCAAACAGATGCTGATCAAAGGCCTGGATGCCATGGGAAGAGTGAAGGAGCAGTGGGAGAAAATGGTGCGTTTCTTCCAGATGATCTCCAACCTGATTGACTCCTGTCTCAATAAACGCCTAACAGAATTTGTGAAATCAGCTGAAGATCTTCCCAAAATTCCGAATTACTCCCACAAAGACTTTGTCATAGATATGATCTACAAACAGGCCTTCAATGCATCCAACATAGCTCACTTGGTGCACATGATATCTGAGACCTACACCGAGGTGTCTTCAAAATACTTGATGGATAAAGTGGGCAGCCTGAGTAGGCTTATTTCCATGGACCCTTCCGATCCCCAATTCCGAATGGAGCGTATGAAACTAGCAGATGGCTGTGACAGTGCCCGACAAGCCATAGAGGACTTGGTCATTAAGCAAAAGAAAGAATTCGAATATAATATCCATGCCAGAGTGACAAAAATCAATTCTGAGCTGAAGGCTGTCTTGCCGGAAGTGCCCGAAGCAGAGAGAAAAGCTATTGAACATAATGTGCACAAAGGGATGAGGGAAATCACCCAGGATGAAGCCGATCAATTTATGTAGACTTGTCTTTCAACCCTTGAGGGAAATGGAGGCTGCCTGGGCTCTTCTCTATTATTGTATTTCCCTCAGAGTAATAGAATGTAAATTGGGCCATTCGGTCATCTTGTGTTTGGTAAAACTAGAAAAGAAACAGCTAGAGATATTGTTGTTCAGGAACCTTTCAAAAAATAATCTTGGCCAACCATTTCTGAGGTGGGGGCTCATGTTAGCTTCTACCAGGTCATGCTGTCTCCTGAGCTGGGAATACAAGGCCATGAAATCTTGAGGCCGAATTTTAATAAACCCCTGAAAATTGCTCACTAGGATTGAGCCTCCGCACAGGCTCAGCGCTGTGCACCAAGGACCTTGGAGTATCTCCGCTGCTTGAAAATGAGGCTCCCGGCAGCTCAAGGGACAGCATCTTACTCAGCAGGGTGGAATGTAGACCAGCCTCCTTGTGGTGCACCCCAAGCAGCGTGACTTTATCATAGTCCACAGATTCTGGCTGCTGGATCTCACAAGGGTCTCCCAGTAAGAAGATACAGCATGAGTACTGAAAATAAAAACAGTGGTTAATACTGTATTCTGTTACACTACAGGAAATAAATAAAAACCTTGCTTAATACGTTGCTTTTTTGTCTGTCTGTTTTATTGACTTGCTGTAGTGTTAACCCAAAGGCTTAAAATTCTCCTTAGCTGCTGGTTTGTTCATTATCTCCAGATCCTAAAAAGAACCATTTCTCTGGCACCTGGCCAATACCTGGCACTTGGCAAAACAGCATTAGCTATTTACTCATGAACCACACATCTTACGAGCGCAGAGGATTTTCCACACCCCAGCAATTGATTCACAAAATTGCCCAAACTTACTTTGTAAGGGGCACACCAACCTTTGCCATGACACTCACTGGTTTCATTCCATTTTACAGCTACATGCTTTACTCATGATCATTCCTTCATTCTAACTTATTGTAAACAAGAAGAACAGATCTTGACAGACTTGAACATTGGGCGCTGTCTAACAAAATGAAATTCAATGGTGAAAAAAATAAGGTTCTACATTTAGGCATGAAAACCAAAATGCACAGGTACAGTATATGTGGTACCTCGCTCAATAGTAGTAACTGTGAGGGGGATCTTGGAGTCCTAGTGGACAATCACTTAAATATGAGTCAGCAGTGTGCAGCAGCTTGCAAAAAAGCCAATACAGTTCTAGGCTTCATAAACAGACGGATAGAATCACGTGACGTGTTAATACCATTTTATAATAGCTTGGTAAGGCCACACTTAGAATACTGCATCCAGTTTTGGTCACCACAATGTAAAAAAGATGGTGAGATTCTAGAAAGAGGGCAGAAAAGAGCAACAAAGAGGATTAGGGGACTGGAGGCTAAAACATATAAAGAATGGTTGCTGGAATTGGATATGTCTAGTTTGATGAAAAGAAGGACGGGTGTCATCATAGCAGTCTTGCAATATCTCAGGGGCTGCCACAAAGAAGAGGGAGTCAAACTATTCTCCAAAGCACCTGAAGGCAGGACAAGAAACAATGGGTGGAAACTAATCAAGGAGACAAGCAACTTAGAACTAAGGAGAAATTTCCTGACAGTTAGAACAATTAATCAGTGGAACAACTTGCTTACAGAAGTTGTGAATGCTCCAACACTGCAAGTTTTTAAGAAGAGATTGGATAACCGTTTGTCTGAAGTGGTGTAGGGTTTCCTGCCTAAGCAGGGGGTTGGACTAGAAGACCTCCAAGGTCCCTTCCAACTCTTCTCTTCTCTTCTCTTCTCTTCTCTTCTCTTCTCTTCTCTTCTCTTCTCTTCTCTTCTCTTCTATTCTATTCTATTCTATTCTATTCTATTCTATTCTATTCTAGTGGAATTCTGGAAAGTAAAGTCCACACATCTTAAAAGTGGTCAGGTTTGAGAAACATGGATCTAGGAGGTGGAATAATCAGAGTCCCGGTTGCATATCTCTGCAGAAATTGCACAGATACTATTGCTTGATCAAGTATATTTTTAGATGGTCCTCCTTGACTGTTGGCTGATAGAATTTCCTTCCCCAGCCCTAGGGGAAAACACTTGTATAGCTCAGGGTGTACTATTAAGGCTGGCCAGGATTTTTTGGGCTTTAGAGGAAAACAGAGTCATGAGAATGCAGCAGCAGAAAAAGAATGCTGGAGTTCCTGTCAATCAAATGCAAGGGGAAAAAGACTCAGAGAAATGGAGGGCTAGAGAGGCCCCCTAAGTCACTGGCCGGCGTGGTACAGGAGTATACATCGGCCTTCCCCAATAGATGGCAGTCCTGCCCCACTTAGTCTTAGCGCAAACAGTGATAGGGAACCATGGCTGGGTCATTGCTCTACTTTAAACTGCCCTTAGAATATCCCAAAGGTGCTTTTTCAAGAGGCAACTGGACTGTCTGATTTTTCTTTGAAGACGTTTCGCTTCTCATCCAAGAAGCTTTTCCAGGTCTGAAGATGAGAAGTTTCTTGGATGAGAAGTGAAACGTCTTCAAAGAAAAATCAGACAGTCCAGTTGCCTCTTGAAAAAGCACCTTTAAGACAACCATGACCTGGATGACTGAGAATCTCCATAGATATTGCCTAGAATAGAATAGAATAGAATAGAATAGAATAGAATAGAATAGAATAGAATAGAATAGAATAGAATAGAATAGAATAGAATAGAATAGAATAGAAGCTGGAAGGGACCTTGGAGGTCTTCTAGTCCAACCCCCTGCTCAAGCAGGAGAACCTCACAATGTTGAGAAACAATATCAGGAGTCCTTTGAAGCAAATTGCTCATGTTGTTTTGATAGACGGAACAATACTATCTCCAGACTGCAATTCTCTTCAGTGATATGACTTTAGGTCTCCTGGTCTGCTCTGGGAAGCTAAGCAACGTTGGCTGGTTGTTATTGGGATAGGGGGCCACTAAGAGATCTGAAGGTAGACAGCTAAACTAGGAAATTGGAAAAATATCCCCAAAGGAGGAGGTGACAAACCCAGTTAGCTATAGTTGCCAAGAAAGCCAGGCAGATATATCCAAGAAGTCACCAGGAGCTGAGTTCGGCTCAAACAAGGTTTTACTTCAGACTGAAAGGAGAAGCACCCCAACATAAATGTCATCTTTTTGGTAGCTTTGAGCAAGTCTTTGTGCTTTCCTGCTTTCCGCTTTAAATACGGGGAAGAGGATCAACTGGCCTCTCTTGCAGGGCTGTTGTAAAATTTCAGTTCATGTTAGACAATGAAACAAAACAGAGATCAGACTTTGCTAAGGAGTTTTCCAATTTTTATTGCCCTGAATCTTTGGATCCCACACATAGGATTAAGGGCATGAAATAAATACACGAGCACACACACAGTTCATATACATTTCTCATACTAGTCAAATAGTTGGATGAAAAGAATATTATGCTCCAACAGCTGAAAGGGCCTAATAGTTACTATGCTCTTAGTAGATACGTTCCAACAGGTCCATAAATGTCATTCTCTACTTTAGTTTTAGCACCTAAAGCTTTCGGTTTCTTTGTTCTTCAACGCTCAAGCTATTTTCATCTAGACCCAGTTTCCTGCAAGAAAGGAAAAACTTTAAAAACTTTCTTAGAATAGACTACTGCCTTGCCAAAAATGGAGTCACATTTACTGTTTATCTGTGGCAAAGTTTTTTTGCATTAGCTCCTACAGCTGCCTCTTTTATTCAAACCGGGCCTGCTGCATGAAACCACCTAATTTTATTGAACAATGCAAAAACACCCATTCTTCTTCTTTTTGGCTTCTTAGGATATTCCCACAGCAGCTTTCTTTTACCTGGCCTTCTCCAGATGTTTTGCTGCTGTGAGACTACTAGGCCAAAGCTACCATATCTAAAGATAGGTAACTAAAGATGGTGGGGAATGGAAGGATTTATACTCCGTCCAGTCAGAGCTGAAGAAGCTTCTTGGATGAGAAGCAAAACATCTTCAAAGAAAAACCAGAAAGTCCAGTTGCCTCAGCGGAGTATAATCAAGATCATGTGAAGTGTTAATACCACTTTATAATGCCTTGGTAAGGCCACACTTGGAATATTGCATTCAGTTTTGGTCGCCATGATGTAAAAAAGATGTTGAGACTCTAGAAAGAGTGCAGAGAAGAGCAACAAAGATGATTAGGGGACTGGAGGCTAAAACATATGAAGAACGCTTGCAGGAACTGGGTATGTCTAGTTTAATGAAAAGAAGGACGAGGGGAGACATGATAGCAGTGTTCCAATATCTCAGGGGCTGCCACAAAGAAGAAGGAGTCAAACTATTCTTCAAAGCACCTGAGGGTAGAACAAGAAACAATGGGTGGAAACTAATCAAGGAGAGAAGCAACTTAGAACTAAGGAGAAATTTCCTGACAGTGAGAACAATTAATCAGTGGAACAGCTTGTCTCCAGAAGTTGTGAATGCTCCAACCCTGGAGGTTTTTAAGAAGAGGTTGGATAAGCATTTGTCTGAAGTGGTGTAGGGTTTCCTGCCTGGGCAGGGGGTTGGACTAGAAGACCTCCAAGGTCCCTTCCAACTCTGTTATTCTATTCTATTCTCTTGAAAAAGCATCTTTGAGCTAACCATGACCTGGATGACCGAGTATCTCCATAGTCTTTCAGAGCCTGTTAACTTCTAACACTTCACTATATTCTGAGACAGGACAATGAAAGGGCTTTCAATAGCATGATTGTACACATAGGAATGATTTGAGTTCCCATGACACGCTAAATTCGCTTAACTTGGGAACCCTCCTAGCATGATCTGGCTTCTGAAGCACTCATTCCAGTTGTAGGCAGTGTGAGAAGTCAAGAAAACTGATTTAACTGCATACAGTCATCTTAAATTCACATGGATAAAGTCCTTCACAAGAGGACTTGTGGGGAAACACACCTTTGTGTGATACTGCTGGAGGCGTGTAAGATGCCAGTGAAGAACACACTGAGGGCATAGTGGGAGGAGACCTTCTTGGCCAAAAGGAAGCTGGGTGGGGGAAGATTTTTTCTTCTTCTTCTTTCCATGAGAGGAGCCATGGCTACTGCTGATGCTGCTGGAGCTGCTGCTAACTCAACTCTCTGTGAGGTCCACAACAAACCTCTGAAGTTCTTTTGCCAAAATGAGTTGGCTTTGATCTGCGCCCAGTGTGCCAAAAGCAAGAAGCATCACACTCACACTGTTCTCCCCATGGAAGAAGCAGCCCAAAAAAAGAAGGTGAGTCAGCGGTTGGCTTTTCTAGACAATTTTGGGATCTCCTTGGCATCTCATTCCAGGTACGTTCATAAAAGAGGTGAGGTTCTTCAAGGATTGCAAGCTTGGAATTCTGGCTGGGAAGCTTGGAAGATGAAGCCACCAGTCCAGCAGGCAGCAAATTGAGAAAAATAACTCTTTGTAAAGCATCCTGAACAAACCTTTGAGTATCCTAACTTGACTGTAGATCGTAGCAATTACTCCGGTGTTTATTTAGAAAAATAGGCAGGAGGTGCAGGATATATGCAATATAAACCTTTGCATGCGCTTCTAAACTTTGGCAAAAGGACCAGGGAAACAGAACAAATGAAATATTTTGCTTTGAATCCCTTCATCCTACTAGGACTGGTAATAAGTGTAAGAGCTGGAA